ACCAGTCACTTGACAAGTTGTCTTCCTTACTTCAACACCATTCAATAAGCTCCTCATCACGGACCGTTCCTTTAAGTCATACACAATGTCCTAGTCATGCTTGCTGCGAAGGAGCAGCAATCTGTGGCTCTCTGTTGACAGGCCAATAGTTTGCTCTGAGTGGTACTGCCATAATTTCGGGCTATACAGGTTGGATAAGTAGATTCCTCCTGTTCGTTTTCTTCTTGTTCGTCAAGAGAGCTGGCGAGAGGGAGTTTTGAGGGTTACAGAGGGAAACTCTCAAATCTCGAGCTATGTTCAGCCCTCTGAGAAAGACAATCTATTCGAAACATGAGACCACCAATAAACGTTCCACCAAACAACCTCGTTGGCTTTCGGAAAAAGAACTCCGAATTGACGCCATTACCAGGGTATTTATGAAGACAGGAGTTTGAGACAATTGGGCTTTGGAAGGTCGGAGCTAGTTATATGAATTCCATTGTCAATGTTGTCAGGATTTTACTTTTTTGAGCCGAAACTCGGACTTCCTCACTTCTTCTTCTTTGCTGCAGGAAAAAGTTGCTAATTGTAGCGTTTATGCATTCCATGACTTGTTCTGGGTTCTCTTGAATTCGGACATGAGCCAGTCTGGGATATTCCCAATTCATGAGCTGGTCAGTATCTTAAAAAGTTCACAAAAGCCATTCAATTTCCGGTTTGCCAATCATTTTGTGTCACTCTCCTCGACATCTTTACATCGCCCATCATACGCCTTATGACAGTGACGCCTGCAGCTTTTAGGAGTTCTATGCCATTATTACTATTACTGCTATGTTTACCTGTTGATGCTACCCAACGCCCTAATCTCAAGTTTCCCGGCCATGCGAAACGTCTTCGTGATCATCCGGTTCCAGAACTACCATCACCATTCGGGAACAAGGTAAGAACTAGTGACTCAAAGCAACCACAAGCAAACAGTTTTCTGTTTCCAGGTTTATCTGAAGAATAAGCTGCTAAACAATCTGAATCACTTCTTTCCCGATACTGAAGAAACCCTGGAGATGTTGGGAGGGCCACCGGGTCCACAAGATCATCCAGTTGATTCTAATTCTATTATCGATCAACCAGTCGCCAAGGGAACACCGACAGAGCCGATGTTTTCCCCGGTTCAGACTCTTTTGGAGAACACATTCACTCGTGACGAATCTGTGCATCATTTTCCTACTCTAATACCAACTGAAGGAACCATTCCGCCACTGCGAAGCTCTACACCTCCGACTTCTGCATCAACTCCAGCTAAGATCAGGTTCTGTTCAGAGATTATTTTTTTCAAACGAAAGAAATTGGGTTGCTTAGTCAAGCGAGGAAAGCAACTGTTGGGCAAAGGAAACTGGAGAGCAGATGGGGGTGGGAGAGGTGGGAGCAACAACACGGCAAAACTGTGCCGCGCTGAAATCAGCTTTTGGCACTTTATTGTGTTCCCCATCATAGCACTAGAAGAACGTACTAACAGATTTTTTCTTATTGGTTGAGCGAACCCCTTCACGGTGGCCAATAGCGAACCAATCCTACCGCGCGTTGGCCGCACTCCCCCCAGGTGTCCTGCTGATTTTGCCTCAATTAAGCTTGGCCCGCTCAACTAAGTAAGCACTTGGAGCGGGTATATAGCGCACGTGAAAGAAAGATTTCTTTCGAGATGAAATAGGCGAAGAACCGGTGCTGACGTAGTTGGACGGGAGCACTTGGAAATTTTGTTCTTTCTCCGCATAAAGTGTAGGTTCTCTAGAAACTGTTCGGGAGCCCAAGCCTTGTTGGGAAAGGGATGCAGAGGCGCGACCGCATGACTTACTACCCTCCTCCCCTTCTTCCAAAAAGTCAAAAAGGACCCTTTCGCTGTGGGTAAACAGGGTACGGCGTGCCCTGTCTAGTAGGGTGTAGTAGTGCTTGTATGCCTAAACTATCTTTGTCGAGCTGATCATTTTGCATACCCTGAAATCCATCAGATCTACAACTTGTAGAGCCTAAGTGTAACCAAGAAGAAATTTTGATTTTTCATGGGAAAGCAGCGTACCCACGCCCTGGTCAGAACTGCTAGCCTTTGAGTTGCGTACAGAGCTGCACCCGTTGTTTACGGACTCATGAAAGGGACAATTGCTTCAGGTTTTCATTTCATTCTGGGATATCGTGGTGCTAATAAGAGTATCCCGAAACTGTGCTAAACTAATCGAGCGTAGCTGGGCTTGACCCTTTGAAAAATATTACCTATATGAAGATGCTGTCTTTTGTCAGTTGCTTTACAGCAACAAATGTGCTATTCTTCTGTCAATCAGAATTTGAAGCGGAATTCGAATGAGGGTTAAATATTCCATTTTTACTCACTACGTTGAAAACCAAAGGTAGTGACAAACATAGGCCTCTCAATCTCCCGACAAACCACAAACCGGTTTGGTCATCATTCTGTGTCACGCTTCTCTAGCCGCGAGATTTCCACTTTGAATACAAACTAAATAAAAGCGATTAGGTAAGAAAAGCCCAAATTCTAACAAATCGTGCGAGTTTTTAAGCCACAAATAAGAGATATGATTAATTTCTTATCTATACGAGAATGAAATATAGCTCACTTCGAATTGTGTGCGGTCGAATTGTGTTGCTCGATCGCGCCCAGTAGTGCTAACTACTGTGTTTCCTTGATACGTTCGAATTTTTGCTTGTACGTTGTTGAAGTTAAATGACTCACAAATTAGGAAATCAGGCGGGATGCGGTTCTGAACTACGATACTTTGAGCGGGTAAGAGCAGCGAGTGAACACAGCTTCCCTCAATTTTAGCCTAGTTAACATTGGCACTTCCCACTATACCGGGGCATCTATACCATTGCGGTATGGCCAACTATGTAATGTTACGAAGTGAAACGAAAATCTATTTCACGCGAATGTGGGGAGAGGTATTGTAACAGCCTGCGTTTATAACTTGCAGCGTTCTTTGTGGGGTAACACTCAGCAAAAACTGATGTTTTGGTGAGGCAGGTTCAGTCAATTGGGTTGCACATCCTCGCTAATTCACCTCTTTTGTTGGAGTTATAGAAAAAGGGTAGCAGAAGAACACAGTGGTATCTCTTCCGGCCGGGGGGCTACATCTATTAGGAACTTGTGAGGAAGCTGATTGGGGCATTGGATTCCTAGTGGGATGAGGGGGGGGCTGTTGGTCGCTCGGAGAGGTCTTTATTTGACCTTATTTTTTAATTAATTTTTTTTGTTTCAAGTTGAGTATCCACATTGTTCAGGAGGACTCAATTGGAGCGGGGAGCAGGGGCTAGGGCGTTGTGATCATTTTTAGAAAGTCCGTAGGGCCCCCCCCCTTATTTCTATTCTTATTCTACTAAAATACGAACCCCCCCCTTTTTGGGAGTTGGCTACGATCTCCTTCCCAGATCTGCACGGGTATGTCTTCCCCGAGCTGTCGGCGGGGGGAGGAACTCGTGCGGAATTAAACTGTCATTTTCAAAGTGTCGGAAATAGTAGTGCGTCCGTGAACTGACCAAGTACGACCCCCCCCTTACAGCGTCCGTGAAACAAGAGAAATCAGCTATCAAAAAAAATTTTCTCTGACCAAATACGACCCCCCTCCCTCGCGGTCAAATACGACCCCCCCTTGTGATGATCACAACGTATGAGTGACCTGGCGGAGGGAGAGAGGGAGGGAGTCGTCCATACGCTCGTTATGGTTTCTGCCGTTATCAATGCAGGTTTTTAGTAGATCCAACCCTCATAATGAAAGGGCTCTACCGTTTTAGAAGTGATAATATCGTGGATTACGGAGCAAATTATTCAAGCTCGGTCTCTCAGGTCAGAAGGGTTCAATAGTCCATGTACGTGGACGGATGATGTGCGGACAGTAATTATAATGAGACTGGCGGAGGACTATACGAGCATTCAAGTCAAGCAAGTCGCAAGACATCAGGGAAGGCGAGTTAGTCTGCACACAAAATACAGACTCGACGAATACTTGTAACAGTGTATTCTAGGAAGTATTCTATAACGAACACGGGGCGTGTTGATATCGTCGCAATCAGTCGGGGTGGCATCAAGAGGCGGACTGATAGGCCAGTTCGCGGGGTTTTATCGCGCTGGTTTTCCTCGAATTCGATCGTAGCGATCATATTTAAGTAGGAGACGAGAAGCGGGCTCTTTGTTCTTGACACAGTCAACTCAATTGTTTGTACGATCTCAGCATAAGTATAATTTTCTGTAGCATAAAGCGTGCAAAATAGGAACAAAAATTAGTTTTGGTGGGCTACTTCGCCATCCGAAACTCATCATAAGATTGGTGAATACTACGGAGAGAAGGCGACGCCCAGGTTGGCAGAGGGTAGCCGTAGACATCACGTAATGCCGAAGGGTATTAGAGCCGGTTGAGGAATTTGGTAGAAGGGTTAAGCTGGTGGCAAGGTATGGCAAGAGCGGGTTAAGTGTGGAGTTGACCACAGGCCGAGGCAGGCGTGCGTGGCTCTTTCTCAAGGAGGTACCGCGCTCACCAGGTGACAACCGACGCCGAGCCGCTAGCGTCCGAAATCGCTTTTGCTGAGGTACGTAGGAAAACATTCGCGAAGTACGATATGAAGCGAAGGTATTAAAATGAGGCGCCAGTCACCGCTACGGTAGATGCGGCTGGCAGCCGCATCTACCGTAGCGGTGACTGGCACGATGCCAACAGGAAACTCGTCCGAAATCGCTTTCTGAGTCGTGTAGAACAACGGCTTTTTGCAGAATCTTTGCTGTTTCACCTCGCCTTATCGCCATTTTCTCACTATATAGCGCCCCTGCTAACATTTAAGATTGAGTACCGAATTATCGTGCCTTATGCCTCTAATGCCGCATAGCGCATTACATAGCCGAATGGGCTGTGCTACACTCTAGGAATGAGAGATATGCCAGAAATCTTCTTAACTGCCAAATTGGGAGTAGACACGCCCCCTACGACGACGAGCTAAATACTGTACAAGAAGCGCATTCGCTGAGCTATCTCAAAGCCACACTCCGCGCTCGTACTAGAGACGTCTAGGCTCCCATAGAAGCCCCGAAATGCATGTTCACAGTGTTTGAGAGTTTTTCTAGAAAAACTAGTAGAATGATCTCACTTTCTTTGACTGCATGGCAGAGGATTGGGTGGAAATTCGAGTGTGAGTCCATATAATTGATTAGAACTTCTCTTACTATCGAAAAATCCGCCTTGCAGCCTCAGAGTTTTGCTTTCACCTAGACGCTTGAAGACAGCCTCCGCGCTCAAGTATTATAACATGGTCGTCCTTCCTTGTGCAAGTAGTACAGCCCCCAAGCTAGAGACTATCCCACTCTCGCGACTCCACAGCGAGCGAGGAGCGAGCTACAGCCGCTGAAAGTTCTAGTTCTAACGCCCGCCCAGTTGGACCGCCCACTTGCTAGATGCCCTCCGACGGAGGGCCGCTCAGTTGTTCTTTGTTGGGCGGCGGGCATTAATCGGAATTGCATGTCCTTTTTGCTGACCGCGCTCGTGCCCATGAATAATTCTGCTCTCCTTTATTACATTTTATTCATTAGGAGCACATACAGTCAACTCCAACCCATCTCGCAAGGTAAAACGCGTAAAAATCACGAGCGACCCAATTTTCGTGGTGCAAAAGCTCGACGCATACACTACACTAAAAGATGCACGCTACCGTAACCCTAAATTCGGACGCCGAGTTTTTGAAAGTTTCTTTTCCTTTTCAAGAGTTTTTCTTCCGTGTTTTTGTTGTTTTTCGTATTCTTTTCTTTGCATTGGATGATATCCACTACTGGGAGATGTGATAAAGGAATTTGTGAGCCAGGGGTTGCACAGAGACCGCAGGGCGGTGTGACTGTCAGGGAGCGATTTTGTTTATGGTGTTCTTGAGGACTCTTCTTGCTTTTTTCTTCTTTGGGGAATTACTTATCAGCTACTGTTTCATAATTGAAAAGCAACTATCCATGACACTTTTATCGCGGGAGCTGTCTTTAACAAGCTTGTTCAAAAGATCTCCTTGGTTAATCACATAACATGACCTACTCCTATGAATGTATAGGTTATAATGATTTCAGCCAACGAAGTTATGGAATTCAACGATATCACTCCTTTAGTGGTCGACAAAAATCGCCAAGTGCTTCTCAGCCGAAAAGAACCGAACTGGCAAACGGCCTTAGCAGCAAGGAACGTCCAGACTTTTGGGAGGGAACCCAGTGGAAAGGTTCGCGTTACATTTTCTTTACTGGATTTTAATCGCGTGTGACCATGTAGGGGTATGTTCTCTGTTTTTTCCTGTACAATGAAGATATCTTTGAACCATCATATAGCTGAGAGCAACCTTCTACTCGATGTTTCCTGAAGATACTCGATCACCATATTGGTCCTTGGCCCAACAAATGGCCAAAAAAGCCATTCAACCATTTCCCATCGACATTGTTCCGTTTACAACCGTTTTTTCTCCTACGTGAGTGCCTTTATTTCCTTCTATCAATGTATCCTACAGTCCCAACCTAAGAGTACGGTCTGCCGATTATTGAGAAAGGTGATGTCAAGAAAACCAAATTAATGAGCGTAGAGGTTAAGCGTAGCTCGGGGAACCACATCGCTTACAGCTCATTACCCGTTTTCAAGATTCAAGCGATTTTTGAAAAAATATGGCACGCAATTACTAGCGCCTAGGGATTCGCCTCTCACATTGCAAGGACTGTCCTTGGAGGCGAGTGTACAGTTTGTCTTCAAGAGCGCGTTCAGACTTCGCGATCGCGCGATCCAGTCGAGCTATCCGGATCGCGCGATCGCGCACTTTGAAGCGCTCTCACGGAACGTATGGCTGAGAAATACAACCAGTTTCACGACTTGCAAAGAAGTACCGATTTTGATGCTTTAGAGCTGCATGTGGAAAGTGATATACAAATCTGCCCCCCCCCTCTCTAAGACCTAGAATTCCACCTAGCCTCTCTTTGATCAAACCTGTGACTCTCTTGGAATGTCCCTGTCGTGACTGAAACCAAAACACTTGTTGATGAAGAAATGAATAGAACTTATCATGTGTATTTGTAGCTGTTTTTGATTCGTTCATATTGAACAATATGATTTTCAGCTGATCCGTCTGTTTGGCACTGAAGCAAGCGGTTACCAATCCAAACCACTCAACGACAGCCCACCAGCCATACAACCAAAGTGATTTTCACATACAACATTTTCTACCTGTTTCTTGTCTCAAATCTTTTTACAGCCAATTATTTGGCTGCAAAGACTCATTTTTGAATATAAATTCAACATTTTGCACAACTAATTGAGCGTGAGCAGTTTGAGAGT